TCTTCCTTATTTACGCATGATACAATGAAACCAAATTTTATATATTCTGAATTGTACTTGCGTTTTTTTTTATTATTAGCATGCAAAAATTCATTTTTTTTTTTATTGGTTGTTGAACTAGAACTAGAAGTATCTGTTTTTATATTTGCTCTCAACCACTTTTCCATTTTTAATAATATTTAACACAACACAAAACCAACGATATCGAACAAAGAAACACGAATGTACGACTGTACGACTGTAATGCTATATCATTAAAGTTATCATCGTTGTCGATAGTCTATAATTTTATTGCATTTTATCTCACATTAGATTCTTATCTCATTCTTATTAAATAAAAACTATCTAACATTAGACTTTATCGGCTATGATTAATCATATGGTCTGTTTAATAACTAAATAACCGAAAATATTTTTAAAAAGGAATAAATATTTCACGGCCCACCAGTCATATAGCCACGGCCCCCAGTTTGAGAAGCACTGATCTACAGTACATATTTGTTATCTACAGTACATATTAACAATCTAATAATATCAACATTCAGTGCAGTGGTTCTACGAAAAATTTCTTCACCGATCTTTTATCTTATTACTTGAGAAATGAGAAGTGATTTCAGTCTGTGGTCTATCGTACTGTCGCCTGTGCGTTCTGACCGTGCTGCAAAGTGCTGAGTGCGTACCGCTGCAGCTATGTCGTCGTTTTTTTCGAAAATATTCTTTTTATTTTGTGAGCATGAGTTCGAATAGAAAACGGTTAAGTGGTGACCAATACAAAAAAATTGCCAAATTAAAAAGTGAAAAACTGCAAAATGTTTTAAATAAAACACAAAAATTGACTGATTTTTTTAAAAATCCAGCTTCTACTTCTGGTGTTTGTAGTAGTAATAGTAGTAACATTATGGATATTAATATGAAGAAAACAGATTTTCAGGTTAGTGACAGTGAAACAACAATAATTAGTGAATCTATTGAAGTGGATAATGTTGAACCAGAAGGTAGTTGTGAGTCAAATGAGTTGACTAATATGATAGTAAATGAAACCATTTTGGAGATAGACCCAGCTAAATGGGTTATTAACGACGAATTTCGTGACTATATTGCAAAAAATGGTTTTAATCAAAATATGACAAATGACTTTATTAACTCGAAACGGATATATTCTGATAAAACAAGATATTTGACCAAAATTATGTTTAATAGACGATTAATTAATGGAGAAACAATTGTTCGTTCATGGTTAGTTTATTCTCCAAGTTTAGGAGTAGTTTTTTGTGGGCCTTGTCGGATATTTTAAACATCTTTAGAAACTCAACTTGTTACTGAAGGGTTCAATGATTGGAAAAATGCTACTGTCCGTTTCAGCTACCATGAAAATAGTAAAGAGCACCGAGATGCTATTATGAATTTAAAACATAGAGGTAATGTCTTGGGGCGCATTGATAATTCATTGATTAAACAATTAGACACAGAAATCGAATATTGGAGAAATGTGTTGAAAAGGGTAGTCGAAACTATTAAATCGTTAGCTTCTCGTGGTCTTCCTTTTCGAGGACATGATTCGTGTTTTGGTTCTGTACACAACGGTAATTACTTAATGTCACTCGAATTAATCGCAAAATTTGATCCGTTTTTAGCCGATCATATAGTTCGTTTTGGAAGTAAAGGCAGTGGCTCTACGTCATATTTATCTCACGTTATATGTGACGAATTTATTTTGTTAATGATGAAAAAATTAAAATATAATATTGTTAGAGAATTAAAAATATCAAAATATTTTTCCATAAGTATTGATTCGACGCCAGATATTTCGCACGTCGACAAATTATCATTTATGGTGAGATATGTCCTCGCAACTGGTCTTCCTGTAGAACGATTCTTATGTTTTGTTTCAAATCCAGGACATAAAGCTTTAGATTTAACTAATGTCATTATTAATACTTTAAAATCTCATGATATTGACATTTCTGACTGTCGAGGGCAAAGCTACGATAATGCTAGTAATATGTCAGGTCAATACAGTGGAGTTCAGGCTCGAATCAAAGAAATTAATCCACTAGTTTATTACGTACCGTGTAGCGCTCACTCGTTAAATTTGGTTGGCATATCTTCTGCAGAAAGTTGTCCACAAGCATCAATTTTTTTTGGATTTATACAACAATTATATAATTTTTTTTCCGCATCAACGCAGAGATGGTCAATTTTGCAATTAAATATGAAACGTAATGCTAATACAATTAAGAGTTTATCAAACACCAGGTGGTCGGCTCGCGCAGACGCATGTCGAGCATTATATAATTCGTGGGATGAAATTATTAACGCATTGATCACTATCAAGGATGACACTTTTGAAAAATGTGTTACGCGAAATGAGTCAAATGGTCTTTATAATCAAATGCAAAAGTTAGAAACATCATTTATGATGATTTTTTGGAATCATATATTAGAACGATTTAATGCATCTAATAAACAATTACAATGTGTTGAAATTGGAAATGATAAAGTTTCTCAGATTTATACATCACTAATTAATCTAGTTCAAAAAACCCGAGATAATTTTGATGAATATGAAACTAGAGCAAAAAAAATATCAAAGACTACCGAGTACAATTTTGGTATATCTCGAAAAAAAAAAAAAATTACACTTCGATGAAAAAACTGAGCAACCAACCGAGTTAATTGGTAGGGATAAATTTCGAGTTGAAACATTTTACGTAATTATTGATAAGATGACAAATGAACTTAAGAAAAGACAACAGGCCTTCAAAGCGTTTTGTGATATATTTGAAGTACTACTAAAAATTACATCTTTAAATTCTTTGGAAATAGTTAAGTTTGCTGAGAAATTGCAAAAAATGTACCCGAATGATTTAGACAATACTTTTTCGTCAGAATGCTTACATTTACAATCTTATTTATTGAATAGTGATATCGATATTGACGTAAATAATTTAACTCCTATCACACTGTGCCAGTATTTAAGAGAAAAAAGTTTACACATTGAAATATTTCCAAATATTGACACAGCATTAAGGATTTTTGTGAGTGTACCAGTGTCCAATTGTACTACCGAGAGATCGTTTTCATGCCTCAAACGCGTAAAAAACTATTTAAGGTCCACCCAAACTGATGACAAGTTGAATAATTTAGCATTATTTTCGATAGAGAATGAAATGCTAAGCGAATTGAATTGTGAAGATTTAATAGACACATTTGCAAGAACCAAATGTCGACGTAAACCGATCGTCTAATAGGAAATCAGCAATTTATTATGTAATAAATTAAAAATATTCCGATACCAATATTTTGTTATTCCTTTTTTTCCAATTTTAATAATTATGATTTTGTATTTAAAATATAAATTCAATTTGTTTTGCATACCTACCTAATTAAATTTTATTTTATCATAATTAAGGGCGGGAATTTTCTACAGGCCTATAAGCGGTAAATACATAAATACGCTTCTGCTGGGACCTACACTCTTATGGACAAAATCATTTATGCAAAGGCAATCGGGTCTTGAATGGGACAGTCATCTACCAGAGGTGTTAGACTAGTGTTATGGATTCAATTTGTAACAGAATTGCCATCAATAAATAAAATAATGTTACCTTGACATATTAACGTAAGCGTATATTCAAAAATATTGACACGGCACAGCCCTACGATCTAGGCTAGCGCTCACCTGTGTCTCACTCGATATCAGCCGTCCAGCTATTAATATGACAATCGGTTATCTCCCCGCCCTTTACACCGAGATAAGGCTGCCGTCGAGTATGGATTACGGATATTGCTTTCTGTTTCGTTTTCGTTTCCGACGGTCAACTTGTTTGTTGTTACTCTATTCTTTTTCTTCCCGGTTAATTTTGTGTTTATTTCTCAAAATATACATATCGATTTATATTTATATTTTTTTTTTTGTTCTTTTACTTTGTAATTGTAAACATTAAAGTTGGATTGTCTCAAACACAATTGTGATTTACTTACTTTTATTTGGTTAGTTCCTGATCTGCGACGGTGCTCCCTTTGTCATACCATAGGGATATACGCGTTAAAATAATTCGGGTAGTAGACCTCTCCGGTCATGCTCTAATAAATTTTGTTACCTGTAAGACCATGACAGCGCCAATGAAAACCCATAAATGTCAAATTACAATGCTGAATTTTGAACTACTTGCTTGTTGTGGGTCAGGTGTTAATTTTAGCTTCGATGCGAAGCTGAGAAGGTATTAATTTTACTATGATGTTTTTTTTTTTTTTTTTATGTCTGTTGCCACTTTTTCTCAGCTCTGACTGGACCGATTTCTTTCACAGGTAGTGTATTTAAATTTAAATTGTTAAATACACGTGGTTTTTTGGCTTTTCCTATCACCAGCAAAGGTAATTTATGATTGCCATTTGCATTTGCACAGACCATAGCAGTGATCCGATCGTTTTGATCCTTAAAACTTGAAGCTATTTTTTCCGAAAATGATGCCAGTGTTTGTTGTGGTAAAGCTTTTTTACAAAAACTACTTCAAATGGCTATTACAATTCATCAACACCAGTGGGGTGTGACTAATTGCTAGACGATAATTTCACGATATACATAGATATAATCGAATTGCAGGGCGATTTTACTATATTTGCGAATTCCTAGGGTGAATGACTATATAAAAAACCCAGCACAGGGGGGTCGCGGCACAGTGGTGACGTGACATATTTGGATCAAGTATAATAATATCTGACAGTGATTAAAATCACTATCATAAAAAACGCTTCGATGCAAATCTTTAGATAGTGTTTAATTTTAAAAAATAAGTGGATTATTTCTAAAATGTTCTATGCTGCCTTTTCACACATAGTAGTTATTTTAGCTTCGATGCGAAGCTGAGAAGGTATTGGTTTTACTAAGATGGTTTTCATTGGCGCTGTCATGGTCTTACAGGTAACAAAATTTATTAGAGCATGACCGGAGAGGTCTACTACCCGAATTATTTTAACGCGTATATCCCTATGGTATGACAAAGGGAGCACCGTCGCAGATCAGGAACTAACCAAATAAAAGTAAGTAAATCACAANATTTAGTTAAAGTAAATCATTAAAATTAATTAAGTTCTCAATATTTCAATTATAGAATCTTTTCAACAAACAACAAAAGTTCCTAGGAAATTATTACTATTACTTCTATTTAAGTTATCTATTACCATAAAAATGCAAAAAAATATTGAGCTTTTCTGATAAATTTACAATAAATAGTAATTATAAAACTTTCTGACTGCATATTGATCTTAACGATACAATTTTTTTAATTCTCATAATTTTTTTAAAATCTCATAAAACTTGACAATTGAGCTAATAGTTATGGTAAAATAAATTATTTTTTTCATTATAAACATTTACGAAAATCAACTTTAAACGATTAAAAAAATTGGTGAAATATGTCATTTTGCTTATTTTTAACATATTAATAATCAAAATCAGTATTAATTTAAAACNACTTATTAATAATCAAATTAATATTAAATATTATTTAAAATCAGTATTAATTTAAAACAATTTTTTTTGTTCTTAATTATTTTTTTTAATATGTAAATACTATTTTTTAATAATATTAAAACTTAGAAGTGATAGAAAAAGTCTAATTGCACATTTGAAAACATCACGAAAAGTTGATTTAGAATAGTATATTTTTGTTTTTGATGAAAGTTCCTTGTAGTCCAGTGTATAAAACTTATAAATTTGTTAACTGTTCAACTTTATCAAAAATGACCAAATCAGTATAATTTTTTTTTTATATAAATGCATGTCTTTATCTATTATTTGGTTTTTTTTTTTATAAATCTAACCCTTTACCTGCCCACAAGAGGGATTCAAAATATTAACTTTTTTTTTTTTAGTTAAAGTAAATCATTAAAATTAATTCAGTTCTGGATATTTCAAT